TATATATATATAAATAAACTTATCGATAATAAGTTTTATACATCGTAGCAGTTATAGGTTCCCCTTTCTGATTACAATGGATATGTATAACTGTACCACTGTGGGTAAACTCGTATGTCAATCACAAAACAGAAGGCAAATGAAAACAAACAAGTACTCAATACAAAAGAAAAATGAAAATAATAAATTACATTTAAAATATACCATAAGTCATGAAAGATGGTATGCTCAGATCAAAAATGGATAGGTTCATGGCTAAAAGAAACAGCAGTCCAATTACAGAAAAGGATAGGAAAAATTGCAAATAATGGCATTGATGTAAAAAAGCCTTCCTATATCTGATTTGAATCTGGGAAACTGACAGCAAGGACGTAAACACTTATTGGACCTGATGAAAGCATAATGATTAAAGAAGTCATGACACCCTTTTGCCAAGAGGAAAGCATTTACTCTTTTATGAAAAATTACAACAAGACATAGCAAGATAGGGATATTTGATTTCTCTATATAATCCAGAGTCAACTATTATATATCCATCTCTGTAGTTTACCCTATAAAGGATAGATTGTGAAAGCTACCATCACATTTTCTATTGAAAATATCCCAGTATTTTAAATATGGCACAATTTACGTTTACAGTAATTACGGGATCCTTTAATTGGCATCTTTAAGCCAACATAGTCCCATAGCATCATAAATATTAGACTTAGACAGACTTTTTTTTATTTGTTTAAGCACAAATAAATCCCTTTCGTTGAAACATTTATTCCTTTATCTTTTATTTTTACATTGGTACTGAAAGGTTGCATTTACCCATATTAACTGTGGAGGTTTTCCTGTTGATTTGAGTTGCATCATTTCAAGCATAAATAGCTTCTGAAACCTTCTAGGCTTAATAGGTTTAAGGTCGTTGTTTAGAGATGTGATCTTAGAGAAGTTTGTTTCTTCAATAAGGACATTTAGCAGGTTTCTTGTATTTGGGTTGTTATTTTAGTCAATTGAAGGATCTGAAAACTTCATCAACCCTTAAAATTCAATATAATTTTTTTTTCTTGTATCATTTATTGTAGCACAAGAAATGCATTGAGACCTGTGAGCAGACAGGATGATCTACATCATAATGGGAGTTTCAGGCTGTGGAAAGTAAGTAATTTTACATTTAAGGGTTACTATCTGGATTGATTTAAACATTATTACACTAACTTTTGTTGCTTAAAAATATGTATACATTGGATGTTTTTTATGGGGCTGCTCAGTGACGTAGTGGGTAGCACTGCTGCCTTGCAGCAAGAAGTTTCCTGGTTCGATTCTTTCTCCATGGAGTTTGCATTTTCTCCTTGTGCATTCGTGGGTTCTCCCCGGGTACTCCGGCCTTCTCCCGCAGGTCTGAGCATTTTTGTCTCTCCCGGATGAGATTGCGTTAGCTCCTCGCTGATGCACAATCCATCTTTCTGTGGAGAGTGACTATGGTGTTCTGGTATTTCTGGATTATTCAGCTTTGTTTTAATATAAGGGTGACCACTTTATATGGAATTCTATAAGAAATTTGGACGATACTTTAGACCTGTGCCAGGAAATGAGCCAGTTTAAATGAGCTCGAGCCATTTTGCCAAAAAGAGTAGCTTAAAATAGCATCTAAGTAAATCAAGAGTATACTATGGTTAGTAATGCTGTGACCAATCTATTTAAATGTCTCTTAGTAAAATATGTGAAGATTTTTCCCTAAATTGTTCATTAGTCTTAAAATAGCTTTATTAAGAATTAGTCATCTGATTCCCATCATTACTTTTTCTAAACTTTATTGTGAACATTTGCTAATTTTTGGCGTTTTTTCTTGTTTTTTCGAATAGAACCAGTTTAGGGACGTCTCTCTCTGAAAAGGTAAGTAAATCAGGATGATTCTTTACCAGAACACAACACTGTCTCATTACTTTATCTTGATATGAAGGTGATACTAACCTTCTCATGTAATTGTCCATAGCTTGGCTGGCCCTTCTATGAAGGAGATAACTTCCACCCTCAAGAGAACATTGATAAGATGGCTCGAGGTGAACCTCTCACAGATCAGGTCTGCTCAGGAATGATTTATTATCATGTTTATGGACATATTTCATATATTAGTTCCAGGAACTCTAAAGCTGGGTCAGGACTTCACAGTTAAGACTGCATTTTAGATATTTAGGTCTGGCTATCAGTTTGAACCAGCAGGCAGAGACAGTCTGGCAGCATTTGGCACCAGGTTGCTGTTAGCTGCGGTTGGAAGCAGATGATAACTTCCCACGCACAGCTTTATTCTGAACGCTGAGGAGTAATACCTCTGTCCAACACTTGCTGCAATGTTTCACTGACAGCCAACAGTTGGCAGACTGAGATTAAACGATGAAGTGTTGCAGAAATGTAAATAAAGGATTACTGCCAGGTTTCATAAAAAAAAAAATAAAAATCTTCCTGTCATATCGTTGTTAACTGGCAGAATGAGGTTAACATAAGCAAAATAAGTTGAAGCCTGTGAGATTCCTTTTCTGAGCAAATTCATCCTAAAAAAAATCTACCTGATGTTTTAATTTCATTTGCATTATTTTAAACAGCCTTTAATGTGTTGAGCGAGTGAATATTGGCAAAGAAGTTCTTAAGATTAAATCAAAGTATTGTGAAATTGTAATAACAGCTACTTTTAATTGATTTGTCTTCTTAATGCTCAGGGAAAACGTTCAACTATCTTGTTTTGTATCATTTGAGTGATTTTCAAATGTAGAAACTGATTATTTAAACATGTGTTCTTCTGTCAAATCTCCTTTAACCCACTGGTTGCAAATAATAGATTCAAATGGAATCATCATTTAAAAGCTATATTTTGTATTTTTACAGGTTGTTATGTCTCTGTGCCAATAATACCCCATTTGCATGTCTGTTTATGAATGTTTGAGCATCAGCGTGGGTGATGGGTAAATGTGCAATATAAATTAGCATCTTTTTGCCCATGATTTAATGTCAGACTACCTAAAGTTTGTTTTTCTGAATGGCCATGTATTAATCTGCTCTGACTAAAGTGCACAGATCCAGTAAAAGTCTCATACGTTTTAAAACTTCTCACATTTATGTTTTTAAAGATTTGACATTGAAGATTTTTTTCTGGAGCCAGTTAGCATGAAGAAAACCTCTTATGGTTGCTTTGATACCAAGATGCCATTCAGTTCTTCATAGGAACACAGGATTTGTTCTACTCCTTTATTATCGTCCCTTATGTATTTGGGGACAGACTAAATGTAAGTTTGTGCTCTGTGAGCAATGACCAAAAAAAAAGTTTGTTGGAGCTTCAGGAAAACAGGAAGTCATCGTTGAATTAAAACAAATTTTTGAATAATTTTACTTTGAAGAATTCGTCCAGTGCATGGACAGTTGTGCCACTAATTTACAAATAGTTAATTCTTAACCTGTATTAATTTTGTCCCCCTCAACTAAACCCCTGATTTAAATAAATTTATGAAACCTAGTTTTATGCATTTTTCACATCTTAAATAGGGGTTATGAAAACTCTGTCTGTCTCTAGTTGATGTGTTAGAACAACATTAAAAAGCATTTGAATCTGATTCTCACAACTTTCCTTGCAGCTGACCTAAAATCTGACACATCTCTTCTTCTAACGATACTTTTCAGGATTTACATTATTTGTTTTGGATATCCTAAGCACTGGGTTCTTGAAGTTTACAAACTACCCATGTGTTTCCTGCATTTTGTCTTCATAAATTTAAATCTAAAAAGTAACTAAACATTCTGTTTGCTCAAAGGAAAATGTTTTTTTTTTTCAGGACAGATTTCCTTGGCTTCTAAGACTACATGAAATCATTGAGAGGTAAGAATAAATTGTACCATAAAAGGAAAACGAGAAAACGAAAAACGATTATTATTTTCACCTTATGTTAAGTTACATCCAGTATAACAACATCTTTAGCATTTAAAGCAAGGAGCAAAGTGTGTAGCAATAGAATGTCAGCTATTTTTAGTTATGGAAGCAACACAAATTCAGTCTTACAAATCTCAAACACTCAGCAGTGAGGTAAGAAAGAACAGGTGTAACAATGCTCAAAAACATCAGAAAACATTGAATGTGGGTTAGAAAATTAAGGTGAAAACCGGAAAGGTTTTGTGGGAGTAAAGACGGATTTAGTTAGAGCATGAGGAGGAGAAGTGAAGATGTTAAAACGTACATGGTAACATCAAAGACTGCTTCTCCTTGGCATCCATATGGCACTATTTTTCACAGCCTGCTAATCATTGGTATGCTTAATGCTAACTTTAACATAAGGTTTTATTCCTCCCTTCAACAATATTAACCATGCGGTGTAAAAGAAGCCGTTCTTGACATCTTCACGTGTTCTCGTCACAGAGAAAGGTGTTCCGGCTCAGATGCTCTCATAGCCTGTTCAGCTCTGAAGCGTCTCTACAGGCACATCCTCCTCCATGGCTCGATGTCCGGGGCTCCAACTATTTGCTCACACCAAACCACCTCACATTCAGCCTCTCCAGAGGTCTTCTTCCTGTACCTGCACGGTGACTATGATCTCATTCACCAGAGGATGGTGGCCCGACAGGGACATTACATGAAGGCAGAACTGTTGCGCTCCCAGTTTGATATTTTGGAGCCTCCATCAGAGGAGGAGAACATGCTAACCCTGGACATTCGGAAGAGCCTGAGTGAGATGATCCTGGAGGTTGAGAAGCACATTGAAAGCCTGAAGCTGTGATGCTGGAATCACTGCAGCAGTTAAAAAAATAAACCTGACTTTATCTGTATAGCATTGAAAAGACCATTCAACCCAGATGTCATACATATCCCTACACATCAATGATAAACATATCATTTGCTAAATTGCAATGCCTTTTTTTTGATAATCTTGTTTGTTCCCTTAACCTTTAAGTAAGTTAACCTTAACCTTTGAATAAGTTTTTATTTGAAAATGTAATTTCTGTTTTGAATGCTTGGTATTGGTGTGCATGGTTTTCTACTCAAACTTTTTGTTGGGTTCCATTGGCTGATAAAAGTTTACCAAATTGCTAAGAACATTCCCATAAGCTTATTGAGAATTAAAGTATACAATACAATAAAAAAAAAAAAGGTTTAAACTTCTTTTTTTTACACTGAAATATGAAGTGTTTAGCAATTAGCAAAAGTTCAGGATTAAAACACCAGCTTACAACTATAACTATACCTTTAGCTTTCTTCCCTTTAGCATCACACATTCTATAAAAGCACACTGAGTGGATTTGTCAAGATCTAACCAGAAAATATGATCATTCTTCTTTTAATTCCTGTTGATATAAAAACATCTAGCAGCAACGTATCTAGCCGCCAGGTTAACAAACCTATTATGAAAAAAAGGAGCAAGTTAGATTCAGCTGAGCTTCAACCCAAATGCACTACGTCTGAACAAAATAACAGATTTAAACCTTTTAGGGAGCTAGAAATAAGGACGACGCTGGCCTTCAATATTAGGAGCTCACCATCCAAGATTAATCGTCAAAATACTGTTGAAGACATGCAGGAAGCTGCTCAGCAGTTATAAGAAGGATTTGATGTAATGCAATTAAATATTATTCGAATTGTGATTTAGAATGGATATAAAGAATTGTCATCATGCTACTTTTTTATTTAATGTAGTTGAAAAACAGATGATATTTTAAACTAATGGTCCCTGCATGATGATTGATTATGCTTTGAAAGATGTTCATTTCCTGCAGGAAGCAAACTGTGAGGTTACATGAAAATAAGTGTTACATCTTGTTTAACTGCAGGAATTAAGAGTTTTGCTCAACATTGTGTTGAAGCATCTCAGGCAGCAGTTCCAGCCTCAGGCATCTCTTTGCAATTGGGCTCACCTCTTTTAAAGGATTTTGCAGCCATTCTTCTAAAGCTCAGTCAGCTTTAGAAAGAACTGCTCTCCCCAGAGGAGCAGATTATCTTTATTCTAGTATCGCCTACAAGTTAGCTCCTAATTTGTGCCCATTTTAAATTGAAACTTAGAAATGAATCCTTGTAGTTTTGTTTAACATCCTGATGTAATCTTGGATATTATTCTCCTTCAGCCTGAAATAAGAAATCTATGTTTCTGTTAACAGACTGCAAATAACCTCAGTACCTGTTTGGTGGAGTTAAAACCTGCATAAGTTTGAGTTAAGATTAATTGTATGTTTCTACCTTCTAAGCTGCAGCCTGTGTGCTTGTTTGAAACACTGATCCTCTTGGAAACATAAAAAAGGGCCTAAATTCTTGAGCGGAGCTTTAATGTTCTTAGATGTTTTAATGTGATTATTTTTAATCATCTTGTTCATTATAATGGGGAAAGTCTCACCATTAAGAATCATTGCAGATAATTATATTTTGGTATGTGCTAGATTTTTTTTACACTAGCACAAAACAACATCCATAAATACTTGAATGTAATTTAAAGTATTTATTGGTTTGGTTTGGGGATATATTTTTCAGTTGATTGAAATAAATCTTAAATACCTTTGCCTTAAATGAAATAAACACCCAACAAGTGCAAATTCTGACGTTTTGTTATTTACAGACCAACATCACTATAGAATAAGTGCAAAGGTGGAAGGTAAGTGTCACTCCTCACTGTTTTTAAGTTTTTTGGCTTCTTCAGGAGACACACTCATAAGGAGAGAGAGAGACGGCTCCACTCTATACCGAAGAGCTGTTTCTGTGCCGTGACTCATCTTCAAACTTCAACCCGAATATTTTTGGAGCTTCTAATCCAGAAAACCCCCTCAGCTACTCCCATATCTTTCACACTCACACAGCCAGAGATTAAACCCCCTCAGCCTGCCAGCCACAGATAAACACAGGCAGGTTGTCAAGAGTAGAACAAGAACACATGTGTAACGTGGAGAACATGTCCTGTTTGTTAGGTAGCTAAACAACTCAAAGTAACATGCATATGACAGTGATCAAATTTACTTATACAGACATTACTTCTCTTTCACCCATGATATGAATTAATCTAGAGTGCTGTTTGAATCTCAGGCCAAAAAAAAAAAAAAAAATGAAAAAGTCAAACAAAACTGCCCTCTGGTGTCTGAAGATGTTTACTACACTGCTAGCTAGGTTTGCAGGCCAAGCTCATTCAATTCATATTTTCTCAAACCTTATTTGAGTTTTAAAAAAAATCACAAATATACAAAAGTGTACTAACTTTAACTTTTTATTCTGTACAATCGTCTATTTCATTACCAAAACACATCAAACAGCATAAAATAACCTTTCTTGTTAAATATAAATACAAATAAAACTCAATTAACCTGGGGTTAAATACTATTAACTCTAGTGAGACAAATGTAAAGATACACCAATAACAAAATGTTGGACATTCAGTTTTTTATTTTGAACCGACAATGCCAGCGATGGGGATAAGAGAATTAAGCTGGTAGTGCTTAACCGTGATGCATCAAGGAGGTCGAAAAGCAAAGAAAATCATAGCAAACAACTTCTTTATTATCAAGAAGGTTTAGTTAAACTAAGAAAGTTGCTGTTTTATAATAATAAGTTGGCAAATGTTTTTAAAGGAATAACTTGGCAAATAAGAACTGCTCCTTGTCTTGATAGGAAAATTGAAGCATGTTTGATTTGTAACAACACTTTTATGATTCTGTGAATCATTTGATAAAGTAAGGTCGGCCAAGGAAACTATGCATCTTCTTCCGCTTATCCAGGGTCGGGTCACGGAGGTAGCAGCTTCAGTAGGGAGGCCCAGACGTTCCTCTCCGCAGCCACTTGGGCCAGCTCCCCCGGGGGAATCCCAAAGCGCTCCCAGGCCACCCGAGAAACATAGTCCCTCCATCGTGTCCTGGGTCTCTCCCTGGGCCTCCTCCCGGTGGGACATGCCCAGGACACTTTGCATGGCAGGCATCCAGAAGGCATCCTAATCAGAGGCCCGAGCCACCTCAACTGGCTCCTCTTGACATGGAGGAGCAGCGGCAAAACTCTGAGTCCTCCCCGGGTGACAGAGCTCCTCACCCTATCTCTAAGGGAGAGCCCAGACACACTACGGAGAAAACTAATTTCTGCCGCTTGTATGGAGAAGGCACTCTACCCTTTTCCGGCTCAAGACCATGGACTTGGATTTGGAGGCACTGAACCTCTTCCCGGCCTTTTCCAACATATTTGGATAAATGAAATTAAAATCCCTTTGAAAAACACTGAAAAAAATATAAATATATATAATATAATATATATATATATGTTTAGTAAAAACACAAACCCTGATCTCTAACATGAAACTTGAAATGGGCTGTAAATACAAGGAAATCCATCCAATCTCTCAGTTGAGATTGAGGACACAAGTAAATTGTCATCTGACTGGTTACAAGCAGCATCTCAGTCAAGATATATCCCCCAAAGCAGGTTAGATGGCCTATTACGGGTGTCGGATTAATTCACAAAGTTTTAACCTTTTCCTCAGAGTATACAGCTTGGTTTAAGTGATGATATGTGAATATTTGTCATTGAAAACCTTTATAATTATGAAGCATCCTGCGGATGTAGGGTTGCTCATAACTATTTGAAACTATTACCTCAGAGTATGACTGTGACCTATATGGTAACCAGGTGGTAAAAAACAAAGATCCTTCACGGTGCGGCAGCTATTCATTATACATCAGCTGCCTCTGAATATTGATGCAGATTCTATAGACCGACAGCAAGTAGAGAGAATTGAACTACCAGAATTCTTATTTTCACCTAAATAACACTATTCTGCAAAGCATTTAGTTTGGTTACTAAAAGGTGAGTATGGGTGTGGATCCCTGCCACATCACATAATGATTTCAGGTATCTACAGGTATTCCTGTGTAATCAGCACTTATAGTTTTTATACATCTACACTATAATGTTGCTTGCCACCATGCAGAGATTAAATACTGTCATGCAGGCACAAATATGGCTTACACTTACATTTGGTTTTTGTAATAGACCTCTTAATAATAGATCATGTATGTGTTGCTGTTGAAAGACTGAGCAGATGTAGAGCAGAGGGCAGATCTCCTCCTGTGCTGATGAGGGCCTGAAGGTTTGCCTGTCTGTCTCTAAAGCCCATTAGGCTGAGCTGCTGCAGCTCCTCCTGGAAGTCCTCCTCATGATGAACCTGGTGTTCAGCAAAATAAAAACAGTCGTAAATTTGAAGTTCTTGTGACTAAACTCTAAAAGTAAATATTATGTTTACAGAAACAATTTGTACTTTAATTTGTTAAAGCATTCAGAATGTGTTATGGCTAAACATATATCTCTACTTTAACGTGTTTTCACATTTTACATTTTCATATTCTATCACACTCTATACAGTACCACAGGATAAAAATTTTTTTTAATTTGACTATTAATTTTCTTGAAGTTTTTTAATATCTGAATTGTTGAACATTCTAATATGTAGCTGCAGCACATTTCTTCCACAAAGGATGAGCATTTATAGTCTTTAACTTTATCCGTTTTCTTTTTCAATTGATATTAATGGATTTTACAAACTTTGAATGTTTTCTAAATCTACTTACAAACATTGAACTTTAAACTTTAAGAACAGATCAATATTTTAAAGAGATCAGCTATAGGGAATTAGTGAGTTACCCCATTGTTGGCGTTAGCCAGAGCCTTTAGCATTTGATCCACAAACTGCTGCTGCTGCTGTTGTTTTGTTAGGAGGGCTTCCTGAGGGCTGCATCCAGACTGGCTGTTCGGGTCCGGATCAGAACCGCCACTGGTTCCAAGTCCTGCACTGTCAGACAGATAGGTTGGTAAAAAATGTCTGCAGGTTTCAGTAAGTTTAATATCAGACTTCAAGTTTATTTAAGACACTTCATCAATGAAATGTATGAGCTACAGAAATTAAGATAAATCAATTCATTTAATTCCTTTTATATATATTATAGTATATGTGACCTAATAAGCAAGCACTATGGTTACAGAGGTGACAGTTAAGGTGAATTTTACCTTTACTTCTATCATACTTTAAAATGTCCTTAAAGTATAAAAAGAGCTTCACAATAGTTATGATTGTAATTCACTATTTTCTTTTTTTTTTTTTCTCAAGGCCATATTTCTTTTAACATGAACTTTCTAAGAGCTGAGACTAGAATGCGTCCCACAACCATGTTTATTCCCTAATCAAACAATTAACACCTTTCAGCAGAAGAAGGACAATTTTATTACATTAAAAAAGTTAATGGACAAGGCAAAAAACTTACAAATAATAAATGGAAACAATTTCCATTTAAGAGACAATTTGGAGAAACTATAGATTTACAAGTTTTTAAGACCAAGTAGAAATCCTTTAATAAGAGTCTTTTCACTTAGTAAACTGAAGCTATATTTTGTACTTACACAGGCACAAGGAAGGGAGCCTCTACAGCCAGAGTCTGCAGACCATGTTGGATTTGTAGCAAGGCCTCCATAGCTCGGGGGTTCAGCACCATGGACAGCAGCTCTGACCTCTGCATCTACAATTCCCAAAAAAGATCATAGATAGCCATATCTTGTATAAATAAAGGTCTGAGCATCTATTCTAGTGATAAATGAAAATAAATGAATATCAAATTTAAGGAAACTTTTTAACACCTGTTAAATAATTCAGAATCTAAGATCACAGAAAAACGTGGGAGGGAAAAAAAGAGACCTGTTGCAGAAACAGAGGGATCTGCTGCCTGATCTGCTCTTGCAGCTGAACATTTCCTGAGAACAAAGGATGGCTCAGCAGCATCTGAAACGGCAGTAGAATAGTAAAATGTAGGGATTTAGTGACATCTAATGGTGAATCTATAAACTGCAACTGGCAGCAGGAGAAAATGGGATCACCTGTGTAAAATATAACAAAAAACTGTAACAATCGGAACCTGTTCACTAGTTATTCAGATAAAAAATTTACCTGTAAACGTAAACATTGCTCCTTAACTGATATATTTAATGCTTTTAACTTCCATAACAATGCATATTTTTGTACCATGTTTTTTTTTCCTCCCACACTGTTTACATTGATCACTGCTGCACTTTAAGAAATGGAAATCTCATGAAAGCTGTACAAAATGAAATTTCATTTTGTGTACACTCTGTTCATTTTGT